AGCGACCAAGGTAGGGTGGGCACGGTCGGTCGCCTTAATATCTAAGGCCGACTTTCGCTGAGCAAGCACATATTTGCTTGCGCAGCGAGACCTAGCTTGGACAGGTATGTTTGTATTAATAAATATATTTTGGCAGCGCTAGGAGTCGCAGTTCCCCTCTTCTTACCCCCTTCCCTTCTCCCGATGACCCATTGGCCGGATCCAGCGCGTGCACTGCTCTAATCCTCCTATTCTACCATCTGCGCTTGATAACGTAACTCGTTACACGTTTTAACCGATAAGGAGATTTTTGGAAACAAACTCGATCTGAACTCGAAAAAATGTCTCCAGATCTTCTAGGATCGACGATTTCAAGCATACGGACATACAGACAGGGACAAATTGACTCAACTCGTCTCATAAGGTTCAATTATCTTATAATTTAGGATTTGATTTTTTCCGACTATAACGTTAACAAAAGTTTTTCAACACATCAAGTTATTATGCATCAGAAATCAAAATGAGTTAATGGCTTATATTCCTTAAGCAAAGGTCCGACATTTCGTTTCAATTCTTATTTGTGGAAAGGTTATACAAACGCTGATATGCGGACGGTTTAGGGGAACTAATATATGATATTTAATGCAGATTAATTTGTTTTCTGGCGATCACACACGATCAGTGAATGTTTATGAAAGAGCAAAAAGGGAGCTCAAACTGCTTTTTACTTACATTTGCAGAAAACCATAGAGCTTAACAGTAAAGCTTGGATAGAAAGGCTAATTTCCACACAAAAACTTCCAAAATCTATATACCCTGAATTTAATCGAATCGTTTGCATCATCATCATTGGGTGTAAGACAAGTTCGTTTAGAACTTACTCAACAAAAAGACGCCGTATACGGAGCTAGTGTTGCATAACTTCCAGCCTCTAAGCCCACTCTCACTGCTCGCACCCCATAGTTGATAGCTGTAATTGAAATAACTATAAATGGACTGGGTTCAACTGAGTTCAGCAAAGTAACAAGTTTTGATTCGTGACTTCTTCATATGGCGAGCATACGATTATAGTGCTTAGATTGGTGTCAATTTGGCTGTGTCCCAGTGTTCGTTATTTGCCTCGACTGGGGCGTTTTTCGTGTTTTTTGTCGGCCATCTTATGCGACCCATATTCGATGGGATGTTGTAAATTTCATTATATTTGTCAAACCAATTGAAAAGTTGGCGGAACTTTGTGTTGATTTAACACTCGCATGCCAAACAACAGAGGCACAAAGCGAGCCCCGGACTATCAGTGGGCCTCCCTTTTGTTCGCTTGATTCGGTTGGACTCCCTCAAGGCGCTTGGCAAAAAAGTTTTGCGGCACACAAAGAAGTTTAGAGCTGAGAGCTGGGAACTTATAGCTTGTTGTTGGCTCTGTGGGCAGACATAAATAAAGAATTGTATGATAAATGGCCACTAACAACGAACCAAAAAATAGAAAAAGTTGAAAAATTATTTGAAAAGAAGAAGTGAAACAATAAACAGCATTGACAGTCAAAAAGCGGAGTCGGGTACGGGCCACAGGCCACGGGCCACGGGCCACGGACCACGGACCCAAAGCCCCCCCACAAACCAATGGCCAAAGCAAAACAGTCAGAGCCAGAGCCCGAGTCCAATCCAATGGAGAGTACCAAGTGACCACACTGTGATTTACGCTCATGAAATTGAGTTGTGGCGCAAATTATTTATGAACAAAGCGAGCACACAGGAATAACAAACGCCGAGGACAACAAAGAGGCGCAAACGAGCGTTATAATAGTCGTTCAGTTAGTGTACGAGCCATGTACTAATACTCGGAGCAATCTGCACTCGGACTTGTAGTCGGAATTGGAATCCGTGTCATAGTCAGAGACAGACTCGGAGTTGGTGTCGAAGTTGGAATTCGAGCTAGCGTTGGTGTTGGTGTTGGTGTTGCAGTTGGTGTTGGTGTTGGTGTGGAGGCTGGGTCCCTTCTGTGGACAGCTTAGTGGCCGCCACATCGGTGTGTCGCCTACGGTGCAAACTTTCTGCAAAATAATTTATTAGCGGCAAACGAGCAAAAGTTTTATGAAAATTTAAAAAGAAGCAGGCGAACCGACCCATTTGGATGCAGCAATTCATTGTCGCTGCCTCTGTTTGCTTTTGTTTAATACATTTTGACTCTGTCAAAAAGTTCAGGCAGCACAAAGCGACTGCCACAAATATATCTATGTATATATGTATCTATCACCAGCCCCACTTAGTCCATGGTCTATAGTTTCGCTCAAAGAATAGTAGAACTAGACGCTTACATTTATTCCTTTTCGATTTACAAGCGAATACCCATGGGAATCGAGCTCTTTTGCAAGACATACAAATTTAAGGTTATGTACTTGGTCGGAATCTTAAAGAGTATATTGGATTGTATTTTGCTAAGGACCGAAGACTTCTAAGACTTCTTGTCTGACCTAGTAAACTTACATATTAAATCCAATGTCATATTTAACGTTTGCATGCGCTCCTGCAATGCATTGGGAGTTGTTAATATTCCAATAGCCCTGAAAGTAGACAGCATTATTTTCAGCTTGTAAAACTACGCTACACAAGCCTGCTAATAAGAGGAGCAAACAAAAGTAATAGTGAGGTGCTGATGTCACTACAGAATCCCTGCTGCAATATTTGATTAGTTTTTGTAAATATTGTAACATACGCTTTCCATTACCTTATATCTTTTTTCTTTCCTTTAAGTGTAAAACTACGATAAGCTTCCACTAAGGGTGGCAGGAAATTCGTTTGGTAAATTACACTCCACAATTAAGCATGTATTTGTACCCATACTATTGTTTATGCAAAAGTAAGTATTCACCCACTGCGTCAACTGCGCCGTTTGCAGCGCGAGTGATTGCGAATATGGCTGTGGTATTTGTTATGTTTGAATAACGAAGTGTAAATTGATTATCATCTCTCCAAGGCTCAGGGGATCCTTTAGTCGAACAGTTTCGACTGTTTACAGGGTAGTTCATAGAGTCCGATATAATCTACAAGGTTGCTCATTTTTTGTAATTAAAGAAAAACACATTTTTTTTGTATTTGATTCTAAAAGATTTGTTGACAGCGCTGATTGATATGATAACTCTTAAATTGGCTGTACTAAAGATATGTGGTTGCCAGATGAGTCCGTCTAATATCGACAGCACTGTATATTGTTTCCGTTTCTTGGAAAGGACAGCAGGTTTGTTTTTAGAAATTTGTGTAAGTGTGTTCTGTTATTTTACACAGAAGCCATTGGATTGCTCAGCCTGGCTCTAAATATTGTCTCAGCTGAGTTGTGATGCGCATATTAAAAATACATTGTGAAAGATTCGCACGGAAAAAGGAATTACTAATTCATATTTTTGAAGCGGAATGGGCAGAAGGAGTAAGAGTGGGAGGAGTAAAAGAGCATACTTGAGCTAAAATGTATTGTCGTGTGAACGTAACCCACACGAGTCGAGTGAACAGATGCGAGTATGTAGATTTAATGCCGCGCTACGCATTCCACTCATGAAAATGCAATAAAAACTACATTACACTAAATTCTTATATTTTGTGTACAGCTAAAGCTGAGCGCAGCAGTTGCGAAAAGACAGTTACAGTACTTATAATACCCTATAAACTTATAGGAATTGACTAAATGTGGATTCAATGCGAAGTCAACTGCTTCGCATTATACATATACATATATTTGATAAAAGATATTTACAATATAAATACAGTTGCACAGTTATGGAAAAC